CATGCCTAACAGAACAACATTAAGTATGGATAAAATTGTAAAAATAAAACCATAAAATGCTAAACGAAAAAAACAAAACATTTTTTTCACATATTTGCTTATAGTAATTTTTACATCTTTTTTAGAGGTAGAGTATACAGGGTTATTCACTAAACTGGTGAACTGGAAGCATAGCTGGCTTTGAGCACCTTTCCAATGTGGCTGTTACAGCCTTCAATTTGAAATTCACTTTAAATTCCCAACAATTCTCACTTTAGTAAATAACACTGTATTATACGTTAGATAATGCACTTACTATTGTCTCTCTTACAAATCATGTGAACTCTAGCTGATCCTCATAATGCTTTTAGATAGTTAATCACCTTACATTCCAATCTGTGTTCCATACTTCCATTATAACTATTGTTCCTCTTTATGATGCATTTCATTGTGCATTCCACTCATGCATGGTAGCATTGGGAGGATCAGTTGGAGAAGGAAAAAAGTTAAAGGTAGACAGTCACACAGACACACACTCAGTTACAGACAGACAGTCACACACACTGTTACAGGCATGCAGTCACACACACATAGTTACAAGCAGACAGTCACACACACTCAGTTACAGGTAGACACTTACGCACACAGGCAGAGACAGACAGGCACAGACACATGCACACACTCAGTTATAGGCAGACAGCCACACACAGGTACAGACAGACAGTCACACACACAGTTGCAGTCACAAATACAGGAACACACAAAGGCACAGTTACAGTCACACGCAGACAGTCACACACAGGCAGACAGTCACACACAGTACAGTCGCACACTACTACAGTCATACACAGGCAGACACTCACACAGTTACAGTCTCACACAGGCAGAAAGTCACACACACACACAGTTACACTCACACGGTTACAGTCACACATAGGCAGACAGCCTAACACATACAGTACAGTCACACACAGTTAAAGTCACAAACAGACAGACAGTCACACACATAGACAGTCACAAACACACAGGCAGACAGTCACACACACCCTTACCATTATGGGCTGGCGGGGGGGGATGGAGACAGTGCAGTTCCTGTATTCTAGTTGTTGGAGAAGCAGGAACTCCTTCCTGCTTCCCCCATCCTGTGCAGCAGTTATTACCAGGGGTTTCTGGTAGATTTAGCCCCACCTCCGCTGCCATATTAGCCCCACCTCTACCGCTTGGCAAGCTCCGCCCCCACCGCTTGGTAAGCTAGCTTTTTTTTTCATATACCATGGTGGAGAATAGTGAAATCCTCCACCCAGGTACTTGCATTAGCTCCCCCTGCATTCCTGTCACCCGGCCATGTGTGAGCTGTGTCGGCCGCACAGCTCGCACACCCCTAAGGCCGGCCCTGATTGGGTTGAAACTTGGGATAGACAGCAATCTACTCATTACAGCAACACTCTGATCCTTAGCTGGGTGTCATCATTTAGTACCTTGCAATTGCAGGACAAGCCTAGTATATGATGCAAAGATATACTATAATCATATAGTGAAAAACCTGCTAATAAGCAAATGGAATTTTGGTGGATACCAAATCCCTGTCACTTGATGGTTTGTGACATGCTTTAGATATGTGGTAGTTGGTGTATAAGGGTTTAGCAGAAGGAGCCCACAATGCAGCAGATAGCTGGTTTAAAATGCCATGATCGCAGGACAAGCAGCGGTCAGTCAAAAGCAGGATAAGGAAATCAGGACCAGGACAGGCAACGCAGGTTCAAACAGGCAAGAGCCAAATACCAGAGATCAGATGCACAACAGGACGAGAAGTAAAAAACACTAGGAGCTCAGCATAACTGAGCAAAGATATTCTAGCAAACTGCTGTTAAAAAGGGAGGAAGAAGCACACCCCTCCCTCCCCCATGTCACCTCATGGCCCTCACACACCCTCTTCCTTAGGACTGGCAACCTTTTATTCAAAAGAGGAGCATTCCGGTGCACATGCGCCTAAGGAGGTTGGAAATTGCTACACCCACCTGCCATGCCACAGCGAAAGTTGCTATCCCTTTTGATTCAATGGTGGTGAATGGAATTCCGCACTGTTTCAGGTGAAGTGGAAGAGGCCTGCCACCAGTCTGTGGCTACGAGTAAGCCAGGCAGGGAGACCAAAGAGTCATGCATTGGCATGGCATCTCCTTGAGGAGAGGGGAAGATGTGGCAAGGTTACACGAAGTTGGACATCGGCTAGTGGGGGACATGGTGTAAATCTTGTCAGATTCTAATAAATTCTTTGTATTTTTGTTATATATATATAAATTAATGTATGATCCAGTACATGGATTTCAAAAGAAAATCAACCAACTTATACAGTTGGATCTCCAAGCAGGTTATGTTGATGCCAATACTGCTAAATATTTGTATGCCACACATCCTATACATCCATTCCTATATACCCTACCCAAAATTCATAAAAGACCTATAGTTTCTGTCAGAGGAGGTCTTTTGGAACCAATAGCCAAATATGTTGATCACTATTTGCAGGACTGTGTAAGGGAACTGCCTTTCTGTCTTAAAGACACCCAGGACCTATTATGTCAACTCCAAGAACTTGGTTCTGTTATACATCATACCTTTATTTTTGCGACTTTGGATGTCCAAAATTTATATACAGCCATCCCACAGATGGATGGGTTTGATGCCGTTCGTGATATCCTTTCTAAATCACAGAAATACAGTGGTCCTCCTATTGAATTCATTCTTGAATTACTTGAGGTTGTGTTATCTTGTAATTATTTTAAATTTGAAGGCAATTTCTATTTACAAACCTCTGGCACTGCTATGGGGGCGGCCATGGCACCCTCATATGCCAACATCTTTATGTCCTGGTTTGAACATCAATATATTTTTTCAACTTATGGTACCAAAATTTTGCGATATTTTAGGTTTGTGGACGATATCCTTCTCCTATGGACAACCACATGTGATGAACTACAAGTAATGGTCGAGCAACTTAATATATTACCCACCTCGATTAAATTTACTTTAGACTACAATTCCGAACAAATCCAATTTTTGGACATTTTATTGTACAAAAAGTCTGGCGGTATCGGGCATACCCTATACCGTAAAGAAACCGACAGAAACACCCTTTTATTAGCAGACAGTTTCCATACTCAGCATCTAAAGAATTCTCTGCCAATTTCGCAGTTCCTTCGGGTCTTACGTTATAATAATGATCCTTTGAAAATGGAAATACAACTCCAAGAGATGAAAGAACGTTTCCTCAACAGAGGGTACTCTCTAGATGTTTTGGAAAAAGCAGAAGCACGAGCTCGAGGACGGTTTATGCTATCGACGGAATCTATCAAGGTGGTAAAAAAACAGTTATTCCTTCCAATCACTTATCATACAGCAACTGTACAAATTAGGAACATTATACAAGAACATTGGAACATTCTACAAGCCGATAAGAACCTTCCCTCTATTTTCCAACATCGTCCTATGATCAGCTATAGAAGAAATCAAAATCTTCGTGACTTATTGGTCCGCAATGATCCTACACAATGCTATAAAAAAAAGCCATTAATCAATAGGAAAGGGTGCTTCAAATGCACCGGTTGTGTGACTTGCAGTCACATGTTACCTAGTAGTTCGTTTGTACATCCCCATTCTGGGAAACGCATACCGATTAATCATTATATTACCTGCACCACTGATCAAGTCATCTATATGGTGACATGTCCTTGTGGTTTATCTTATGTGGGGAAGACAGACCTCACGGTATGCGATAGGATTAGAGGGCACCGTTCCGGCATTATGACTGCATACCGTGACCAAACCACTGATAAACCAGTTGCTAAACACTTTCTAGCTATGCAGCATCATTTACCTACATTTAAATTTATTTGCATTGACCATGTCCCTCCGTTGGAAAGAGGGGGTGATCGTTCCAAAATCCTTTTACAGCGGGAGGCTTACTGGATATACCACTTAGATACAGTAACCCCAAAGGTTTAAATGAAAATATTGTATATTCCATGTTTTTGTAATTTGTCTATATATCATCATATTTGTACATTTATGATGTTTTTTCTTACTATTGGAATGTGCTTTAGTTTTTATATTTAGTTTTATTTACATATGCTGGATTGGTTTGTTCCTGTTTTGCCAATGGCTAGTATTTACATAAGATAGGTTTATTTTATGTTGCATTCAGTTTACTTTGATGTATTTGCCGTGTAGCTATATCTATACCTGACTTAGCTAAGTCAGATGTACCTATTTGTTTTGGTTTTCCTTTAACACCCTTGTATTATATATATGGCTTAATTTTATATATATAAAAACAGTATCAAGTAGTGAACAAAGTGCAAAAGACCTCAAGCACAGCTTGATGTGAGTGCAGCGCTAAAACAGTATTATAAATTGTAATACACTTACCCCTCACAGTGTATATGGGGTATATATGTGAAAATAAACAGAAAAAAACATATATAGAGTAGTATTGTCTGATGCGTTTGAAAATATATCCAATAAATGAAAAGAATAAAACTCACATTTGAGAGAGCCTTTTATAAGGATATAGGCTCTAAACGCAACAGCTTCTTTGCCTTTAAAGGTAGGCAATAAAACCTTAAAAACAGGAGCGTTCTTCCTTTCTTTTGTTGATAAATTATATCTCCAAATGAAACATAGAAAAAAATAATTCTTTGGTGCAGATGGTATGATCAAAGTAATAAAGCAGTCAGATAGGATGTATAAGCTCAAATTGCTCATCTTATTTAGAGCCTTTTAAACTGGCTCTAAGTATTGTAGGCATGGATGTCAATAACCAGATAGCACTTCCCTCTTATAGATACCACAGAAATGGAGAGGAGATGGAATAAAGATAGCTCAATTGCCGAAGTCAAAGTGTGTAGAAGACACTGCTTGAAAGGATTGTGATTTTATTGCACCTCCTTTTCACCTTCTACTGGTCAGTTGCCACTTGATTTATACATCACACAGGGTTTCCTGTCCTGGCTGACAAGGGCCTGCTCCCAAGCTACTGATGCATTGCAGATAAAATGCAGATAAGGCAGACTGCAGCCTTATCTGCATTTTATCTGCAATGCATCAGTAGCTTGGCAGACTGCAGCCTTATCTGCATTTTATCTGCAATGCATCAGTAGCTTGGGAGCAGGCCCTTGTCAGCCAGGACAGGAAACCCTGTGTGATGTATAAATCAAGTGGCAACTGACCAGTAGAAGGTGAAAAGGAGGTGCAATAAAATCACAATCCTTTCAAGCAGTGTCTTCTACACACTTTGACTTCGGCAATTGAGCTATCTTTATTCCATCTCCTCTCCATTTCTGTGGTATCCATAAGAGGGAAGTGCTATCTGGTTATTGACATCCATGCCTACAATACTTAGAGCCAGTTTAAAAGGCTCTAAATAAGGTGAGCAATTTGAGCTTATACATCCTATCTGACTGCTTTATTACTTTGATCATACCATCTGCACCAAAGAATAATTTTTTTCTATGTTTCATTTGGAGATATAATTTATCAACAAAAGAAAAGAAGAACGCTCCTGTTTTTAAGGTTTTATTGCCTACCTTTAAAGGCAAAGAAGCTGTTGCGTTTAGAGCCTATATCCTTATAAAAGGCTCTCTCAAATGTGAGTTTTATTCTTTTCATTTATTGGATGTATTTTCAAACGCATCAGACAATACTACTCTATATATGTTTTTTTCTGTTAATTTTCACATATATACCCCATATATACTGTGAGGGGTAAGTGTATTACAATTTATAATACTGTTTTAGCGCTGCACTCACATCAAGCTGTGTTTGAGGTCTTTTGCACTTTGTTCACTACTTGATACTGTTTTTTGTATGGTTTATATTTATAGTGTCTTGTGGAGTATTCACTAAAAGTGCACATAGCAGCTATATTTTATATAATTCACACCAAATAATATTCTAAGCGCCTTTTTATCCACATCCACCTCTGTGTGTTTTTAATTTTATATATATGGCTCCATTATTTATCTGTGCTGTTCTTGTGACTTCATAGTCAGCTTTATTTTCCTCTCTTTTGGTAGCGATTGCCTTTTTTTTGCAGCATGGTTTAAAGTCATGGTGTCTTTATTATCTGTGACATTTAACTTATTCATCGTACACGGTGTTTATAATATTTAGTATGTGACCTTGTTAGCATTAATAATAGTATCGTTCTTTTTTTCACACTTTTTCACAGTTTTTAGTTTTTTTTGTGGCACATTATTCACTATTAGAGATGATCACTTTTAGCACGTTTCATTACATATTTCTCTAATACCATTTGGCATTATATTTCAATAATCCTTCGTGCTATATTACTTGCACCCGTTTGACACATAGTCATCACGATCACCATGGCAACTACTTTCTTCCGGTGTGCGTCTGAATTGGGTGACGTCACGGCCGGCTTCCATTCACTTCCGGGTAGTAACGGGCAGAGCACTCACACACCATATACTCATTTGGTAAGTGTTTTATGATACATTGTATATATAAACATTGTTTTGATTTGTATTTGTTGATCTTGAAAAAGACCCGTCAGGGTCGAAACGTCGATTGCTTCATTTGTACTTTTCACATGGAATAATTAAAAGACACTTTTGTCACCTTTATTAAGTCCTGTGAGTGCATCCTAATTCTTTATTTTTTACATATTTTTGACGCATAGGATATTAGCACCTAGGCCAGTAGTCTGCATTTATTATTGTAAGGAGAGTGCCAAGCATTCATCTTTTTGATATATATATATATATATATATATATATATATTACTATATGTATTTTACTATATATAAATGAAATTAAATAATGGCACTATATATCAATAATGTTCAGTCAAGGCCATGAGATTGTCATTTTGCTCATCTGCACCAAAGTTCAGTTAGCATATATCTAAAAATATTTTATATAATATATGGGATTTCTCAAGACAGCAAGACCAAGCAAAATACTTTTGAAATGTAATTGTTTTCTTCAGATACTATTGTTGATTTGCATTTCACTGTTCCATTAAATGTTCTCTAGAGATTAAGAATGCATGCTCTGTAAGACAAAAGAGCAAACGAAAGCAGTATAAACTACTTATTTTATTTTACTGAATAAAATCATTTGCATCAAAACCTCTAGAAATACTTAAAAGTATGAAGAAAATGGATTTAGTTAAAGAATGCCATATCACTTTTCCTTTTGAGAGGTTGAAAAAAAATGATTATTAGCTCATCTATTTTCAACAGCCCACTATAGCTACAGGACATTATAATAATATGTCCTTCCCATCACCCTTAAACCTTGTTAGCCTATTTTACACATGGCAACTACTTAATTCACATAAATACAAAGCTGTATTCCTAGCACTATAATACCATCAATGCTGGGTCAGGCTCTGCCTCCACTCCTCCTGTGGCGATGTGTGGGACCTACAGCACATGCACGGCATCCATGATCACACTAGAACTTACACATAGGAAAGCATTGAAGCCAACGCTGGTTTCAGCCAACGCTGTGAGGACGACCAGTGTCATTTAGTGGACCAAAAGTCAGCTAAGAAAAAAGATACCTTTGATGATACACCTCACTTGTACTTATTCTCGGTACATTCTTGTTCTAATATATTCTTGTACACCTATACACTATTACTTGTACCTGTTTTTTGTTACAAAAAAACCCTAAAAAACTGACAGACAATGAACACTTACGCCTGAACATTCGGCTTCTGCGCAAGCCACTCACGGAAATGCTATTGTACCATAAAACGTTCGGCTTCTGCGAAAGCCAACTACATGGTTCCTCAGTGCATAAAGCATCCCTGTATTGAGAGTCCTTTAAATATCCCATCATTATGTCCACCTTCCAATATAGGTGTGTGTTTCATGCCTCCATCCAGTTCCCTTTAAATCGAGGCATCTTCCAATCCTCTTTCTGAAGTCTGATGGCGCAATGGGTCCATTTCTAGTTTTGGCCCAGTGGCCATATTTATGCATTTAACTGCATTCCAGCAATTGTGGCGGCCATCTTAACTCTGCATTGTCCTCTCCTCTTTTTTGACGGCCTCCCTCCCACCCACCCACTGGGCCCATTTGTAGAGGAAACTCTAAAAACATCTGAGCAAGCTTGTAGCGTAGGAAGGCGGGGCTTTCAGACATCGAGCAGAGCTGAGTCCGGATGAGGGGAATTAGGACTTTAACTGTCTCAGTGATCTCCCGTACCCAGGGTTGGATTAACATAGGGGCTGATGGAGAAGCATCTCCAGGTCCATGCCCATGGAATAGGCAAATTGTTAAAAAAAAAAGAAGTTCTTTTTACTACTCTTCACATGCTCTTGCTTAAGTATGGAAACTTAAGAGGGATGTAGGAGAACAAAACTGGCGAAGACTGTCTGACAATAAAATTAGCTAAAGTAAACCTGACTTTGCTGACAAATGTTCTTCCTGCTTCAGTCTCTCTAACACTGTGTCATGTTCCCTTTCTGCTACACTCACTATATACACTTTTTCTCTGTCCCAAACTGTATAACAGAAGCTTCTGCCTGCTAGTAAGAAGGTTAGGAGAGGACTGGACAAGTAAATGCAAGGGGGCAGTCCTTAGAAAGCATGGAGCAAGGGCATCATTAGACATATTTATGCCTTGTTCAGGGTGCTGTGTGCATGGTATGCCCTTTGATGGCCAGTCTGCATGATTTGCAGGCAGCCTTAAATGCATTTAAACAAGGCTGACCTTCTAATTTTTCAAGCATACACATCCCCTTTGTTCGCCCCTTTGGGCAGTTCTGGTTACATGATTTGAGTCAGTGGCTCACCCTTTTACCCCGCCCACCAAAATCCTGCTTCGTTGGACACTGCTGTTAGGGGGTATCGATATACGTGAAAGATAAAAGTGAGAGATTAGCATAGGGTATTTGTTTTCTGATAGCTATATTCTGTGAGTTTCCATCCAGCACCACCTACACCAGATACATGACTCTTGGGAGATATGACTGTTTTAGTTTTTTCTGTAAGAAAAAAAGATTCTGTAATTAGGCACATCAAAATTGTCCAGCACCAGGCCCATGGGCTCTTAATCTGGCCCTGCCCGTACCCAGAGTACAGCTACATGACCACACTCTGGTACACAGGAGGGGATAATAAAATACAGTAAAGGACCACTGTATATATATATATATATATATATATATATATATATATATATATATATATATAAAACTGTAATTACACTATAATTAGAGTCCCAAATGTAAATTCTTTTTTGTGCTACACTACGTTTCTGATTTTAGTCATTTTTGATGTTATGGAGGCACTTGGTAGTGTTCAGCAGCTGATTAATATTATTTTTAATTCTTATAATTATTAAGAATAAGGTATTTAAGCGCTCTTATACACAATTCACAATTTTTTAAATAGATAGATTGATTGTAGATAGATAGATCAATATATAAATTGATTAATTGTAGCTATATAGAGAGTTAAACAGACATAGATAGATGGATAGATGGATCAAACACGGTACTATAAATTAACGTTAAAGAGCTAATTAGGAGTATGATCACCATTTGCTTTCAGAACATGATCTATGTTTTATATGTCATGTGTGGTGGGATGTTGCAGACTATTCAATGTGAAAAGCATTCAGTACTTTGAGGAATGAAGGAAGTGGATATATACTGTACATGCTACACTAGAACATCCTATAAAGATTAAATAATATAACAAACATATGGTAATTCTGAATACATGGAAGGCATTTGGCAATTTTAGGGATCAAATACCCATTAATTAATTATTTTAGGTCACACCCCAACTTGTTGGTGAGGTTTATTTTCTTTACAATACAGTCAAGGTGTCAGATACCTCCTGCTTGAACTGCACATCTGTTATGTCCACAGTTGCACCAATATATGTGTGATAGCATCAGCGGGTAATGGGAATGTAATTGTACTTACTAAATGTTTGCATAACTGGAGCTTTTCCATTGTTGAAAATTCATTGACCTCAACTGCCTTAATTAAATTGTGCCTCACACACCTCATAGACCTTTTAATGGTTTGACCTTACTAAGAGCAATAGCTATATTTTGTGATTATCCTGTGTTGACTTATCTTTTATTACTGTTTATTCTATCTTATATTTGTTCATGTTCTCAGCTTGTCTTGATTACACTGTGTCTGCTCTATTGGCTTGTCATACATGTACTCTGTCTTTTTAATTCCCTCACTACAGCTTCTCCCTGTTTGCTTAAGCTTGTTTTAGTTACCGCCTTTTTAGAGGTGTATGTGTTTCATTAACTCTGGCCATGGCAATGTCTCCTTTCTATCCCTGTTCAAACTGGAGAATTTCCATATAGGGTTCAATGGGTTCTGTAAAATAAAAAACGGGAAAAAAATAGATTAAAAAAAATCAGAATAATAACATTTCTTTGTGGCTCTACATGGAATTCTATCGGAGCAAAAATTGATAATTGTAAGTATACATTTTTATCACTTTTTTCTGCATGGAAATTATATCTACACTGGATTTATAAGAGTTTTATTTTTGCGCTCCACTTATATTCTGATTTTTTTTACACTTTGTACGTATCTGTGCTCATTACCGTCTGGTGCATAAGCACTTGAGTGTGTCGCAGCATCAATCAATATTTTTAAATCACTTTAAACACTGCTTTAATGTTTTACGTAATTTATTGGGTTTTTTCAAGGAGATATTTTCCCCATTTTGTTTTCTCCTTTTGAATCCTTGTTAGCACTCTTACAATTTATCCTTTTTTTACGGGACAAAAAACTGTGTTAAAGACTATCAATTAAAATTAGAACAACGCACAGCAAAAAAACAGAAACATCAAAAGTATAAAATGTATTCTCACTTTACAAGATACCAAATAAAAACTAACAGAAAAAGGTTGTTAAGCACTATGTTACCACATTGAAATGTTGTAAAATAAACCTATAACAAATGACAAATAAAAACATTTATGGTGTAGTATATCTTAATTCTTGTGAATGTGGTTTTGGTGATTAGATTAAACTCATTATTTTAAGAGCCACTATTTTTAGGTTCTGAACAGTGTAATAGCATGGAAACTCCATTATCACTTTCAACAAAGAACTTCTTCTCTCCAAGTCAAATGTAATATGTGGATAATTAATATCATGCATTATGTTAAAACACAATATTAATTGCAGGTAAAACTAAAAATGTAAGCGCTTACACAGTATCATATTGGACACATATTCCAATATATTAGCTAAAACTCACAAAAAACTTTAAGCATAAATAGATAAAGTAATTTCTGCCCTCACCGCATTATGTCTACTCGGAAAGTCCATATTCATTATGTACTGCCAACAGCAAGAACTGATGGTTTCCTCCTACTCTATAGAAAATCCAGTAGGCTATACAGATGTGGAGATATAGATAGATAGATAGATAGATAGATAGATCAATCAATAGATGATAGATGCATACATACATAAGGCTTAAAATGGCAAGTCTTACACTACTAGCAAGTCCTTAAAAATTACTCACCCCTGCAAACTTCCATAAGGTCCATTTCAAATTGTAAGGGGTCAATTTCCACACAGCTTCTCACTTGCCAGTGTATGTATACTTGTTCTGTCATGGATTGCTGCAGGCTGCTTTGTGTTTTTAATTTGGGGTTATATGATTGAGATTAGTAGTAAGAAGCTTTCAGTTAAATGGAGTTCCCACCAGGGCATAACTAAGAACTGCTGGGCCCAGTTGCCAGAATCAAAATGAGGCTCCCCTTGTCTCCCCCTTAAACAATGCACCTGGATAGAGCGTGATTGTTTGGTAAATGACTGTGTTTGACTGTTTGTGTAGTGGTTGGATGAGTGTGACTGTGATGGTTGGTTTAGTGTGATATGTATCTGTGGCATTGGCAGGGTGTGATTGTGTGTGGGAGTGGCTTAGTGTTATGTGTGTAAGATTGTCTGAGTGTGAGTGTGTGTGGAGTTGTCTGAGAGAGAGACACACATATACAGAGAAGGAATGCAGGAGACAGCTAAAAAGGAAATCCAGAGACATGAGTGAGAGACAGAGAGGCAGGGAGAGATAGAGATAAGCATGCAGAAAAGGAGAACCAGGGAGAGAGATGCAGAGAAAACAGAAAGGGAGGGAGAGAAACACACTGATAGAAGGAGAGTAGGAGAGTTGTCGATATCCAGAGAAGATGAGCAATAGAGAGATAGGGAGGGGGATGCCAGAGACAGAGAGACAGAGAGGAAGGGAGAAAGACAGAAAGACTGAGAGAGACTCATATGTACAGGGACATGTCGGATCTTACTTAGCATTTCTGATTCAGATGCAGGCTGAAGCTGGCCTTTAGGATTCTTCTGTACTTGCTGTCAGCTCCTCCGTACAGTCTATGGGTTGTGTGGCTTCCTTGGCACTGGGAGAGGCACTTTCAGCACCATGGTGCATTGCACACAGAGTTAGTGCTTAGCCATGACATGAGCACAGTCACGTTGTCGGCCTCTGCTTAAGAACCCCCACCAAATACCCCAATGCCCAATAAAGCACAGACACCATGGTTTTGGCAAAATTATATCACAGCTTTATTTGTAATTAACATAAATTTAAAGGTCATTGTCAACAGCAGGCCAACGTTGGCCTGCACAATTAACATCCTGCATTTACAATTAACCCCTTGACAATGACCCACCCCCACATAACATAACACCCAAACATTGAACATTTTATTTAACATGAACATGACCATTGCCACCAAAGGGCACCATCCATTGTCACCAAAGGGCACCACAAGTGTAGGGGCATACCGAGACACCCCATACACACCCCGGTTCGGAGCTACCTACGAGCTCGAACCTACCAAACCAGTCCAAATGCCTACCTATTAGCCCTGAACTCCAAACTTTTTCCCCATCTCACTCTTTTCTCCCCCCAACTTTACTCTCCATCCCCCGCCAGAGCTCAGAGCTCGACTCCTCGAGCTCCTGAGCGACACCCCCCCCAGGGAAAAAAGCACTCTCTGGAGGCCCTCCTGGAAACCCAGCAACAAAAAGACCAAACCCACATCGGACAGATGGACCCCATTTGAGGTAACGACCCCACATCATTGCCCCCTGCATGAAGCACCACAATGTCCGGAACCTGTCCCAAAAGAATTTTGTGAAACATTTCCTCACATATAACATTCCAACCCCAGCCCCGGTAACCAAACCACCAAAGCTGCACCACAGAACTTGCAAAGCCCAGCTGTAGACCGTGACGTTGAACTGCAGCTCTCCGTTGCGCCCAGTGTACATATGAGTGGCCGACCACCCATGCCATCCGACCTGTAAAACATAAAGCAAACATAGACAACCACAAAACAACCACCAACATTCCCCCTTTTCCATCCTCCAACTTAAACCAACTTGTCTGGCCTAATGTAAGACCTGAACCTCAGGGACTCCCACCTGCCAATCTTTTTCACCCGTTCGTCACCTAAACCTAGTCTCGCCGCTTTAGTAGCCGCACACATCCTGAAAGAATGTGTCCCGAATTGGCCCGGGTCCACACCCAACCTTGGCAACGCCTTCCGAAAAACCCTGAGGAACTGGAACTTCGATAGCGAAGAGCCGTCCTCATGCTAGAAATATGAACCCCCGGCCATTGCCCGCACCTCCCGCAAGGCCGTTGCACACTTAACCGGACAAGTTCTCCCACCCGGGAGCTCCCACAACGTAACCAACGTTCCTTTCCCCATTACATCCGTTTTGGACCACCTCAGGTTAATCACTACCTTGTTGCTCCACACTTCCACGTCCATCGCCTGAAGTCCCCCGGACCCTTGGCGATTGCTGCTAACTAGCTCGCTGACCCGAAATGCCCTAAAAAAAGCAAAACTAAAAACCACGGAAAACATTGTCACTTCTTATCCTGAAAAACACACCGCAGGCAGCACTTGGACCACCCGCTGCAGCAATTCGAACGACACCGGCTTCCTAGTATCCACTGACACTTAACCCCTCCTGAAACCTTTCAGTGCCTGTCTAACCAGAAAATTTTTGGTAGCATCCTCCCACCCGTTAAATTTGAACAAGAACGCTAGCGCTGCCAGCTTACGCCCCATCACCGCTGCCGAAACCCATGTGGTAACTGACCTACACAAGAGCCACAGCAGCGCATCCATCCGCGCCTTCTCTGAGAGCTGATCCCCTGTCTGCTGCACCAGTTCGTCCCATTCCCCCCACACCTTACTGTATGCCGCCCAGGTAGCGGGTGCCAGGGAATCCCTGATCAGTCCGCCAAGCATGATGTCCCGAGCCGCCACATCTCGTCCGGGCAAGACATCCCTTCCTCCCGTGCGCCAGGTGCCACCTGCTGAAATCTCTCCCACTGTGAACGAGACAACGCATCAGCAATGACATTCGACAGTCCCGGCACGTGGCGCGCCCGAAACACAATGTTAAACCTCATACAGAACAAGACAAAATGACGAAGAAGCCGCATCACCGCGATAGAGGACGCTGATAACCCGTTCACTGCATCTACCACTGCCATATTGTCCGAAAAGAATATCACCTTCTTATCCCTCAACTGTGGACCCCAAAGTGACAGCGCCACTACCAACGGGAACAATTCCAGGAACGCTAGGTTGCGTATCAGCGGGCTGGCCTTCCAGGCCCCTGGCCAAGTACCTGCGCACCATTCACTCCCCGACGCGTCCGTAAACAGCTCCAACTCCTGAGAAGACGCCGCCGGCTCCCGAAAGAACACTTTCCTGTTAAAATCCCGCAAGAATTCCCTCCAGATGTCCAAGTCAGCCTTCATGGCCCCTGATACTCAAATAAGGTGGTGCGGGAACACCACACCCGCCGTTGCCCTGGCTAGGAACCTGTTAAAAACCCGTCCGACCGGGATCACTCGACAGGTGAAGTTTAGCCGACCGAGCAGAGACTGAAGCGCCCGGAGCGTAACCTTCTTAGCTCCACGCACCTCCGCCACCGCCTGCCGGAGTGCCAATAACTTCACCTGTGGCAGCCTGCACTCCCCCTTTACCGAGTCAATCTCCAAGCCCAAGAAACTCAGGCAGGTCGTAGGCCCCACCATTTTGTCACATATCAAGGGGACTCCAATCACGTGCGCCACCCATTCCAGTGTTCTCAATCCCCTGCGACATTCCTCCGATCCAGGAGGCCCTACACATAGGATAATGGACTATCATCCAGATAATGGACTACCATCCTAGTGCCCACTTCCAGCTTTACCACCCATTCCAGGAATGTGCTAAATGTTTCAAAGTACGCGCACGATATAGAGCACCCCATGGGCAAACAAAGATCTACGTAATATTCCCCCTCGAAGTGACAACCCAGCAAGTGATGGCACTTCGGGTGAATCGGCAAAAGGCGGAAAGCCGCCTCCACGTCCGCCTTCACCAACAACGCCCCCCGGCCTGCACCAAGTTCACCGCCTGGTCGAACGAAGCGTACAAAACCGAGGAAAGGGCCCTGTCTATGTCGTCATTAACTGACGACCCCTTGGGGTAGGACAGATGGTGAATCAGGCGGTACTTGCCGGGCTCCTTCTTGGGTACCACCCCAAGTGGTGATACTCTCAAGTTGGAAGTTGGGTAACGGGGGCTCCCTGAACGGCCCCGCCACCCTGCCCAGCTGAACCTCCTTATGCAACTTCTCCCTAACCACCCCCGGAAATTCCCCTGCCGACTTCAGATTGCGAAGACGATGAGCCACCTTTCACTCCCGAAATGGGATAACGAACCCGTTGGTGAACCCCTCCTCTAGCAACGCCGCAACTTCCCTGTTAGCGTAGTGGCTTAGCCACGACCGCATCGCGCCGACCTTCACTGGTGTGGCCCCCAGAGGCAGGGGAACCTGCCGAACCTCCAGGCACCCCTGCTGCGGAGGCTGACTTCCCTTTTTTGAAACACCTGTGAAGTCCGTGGGTGCCTCCACACCCAGAGCACTCATGCTTGAATCGACAAGTGGCCCCCCACTTGCACTGTCCCTCATTATACAGCCAGCAGTAGCCCCATTTTTGGTTGGCCGACACGGCGGTAGACGCGCCCGTGCCGGCCCTTGTCTGAAAGGGGGACGCCATCATAAGTTTTATCCAGAGGGGTAGGTCCATCTGGTCCCACTGCATCCCCGGATTAGCAGCCAGGCGCTGACGAAGCTGCTCGTCATACCGCCACCAGGTCAGACCCCCGTATGTCCAATAAGCCTCCCAAATACCATCCAGGTAACAGAAGAGCTGCTCTTCTGCCTTTTCGCTGGCCAAGATGCAAAATGCCCTCAGCCAGTTCCCAAACGTCTTAGGTATCTTCCTGTTCCTCCGCTTCTTTTCCTCCTCCTCCTTTTTGGCATGCTTTTTATCCTCCTCCTTGAGGTCAATGTAGTCCTCAAGGGGGAGAAGCGAAAAGATTTCCACGAACTCCCCTTTCCATATCCTCTCCTTAACCTCCATTTTGAGTTGACAGCCCAGTGGGCCTGCGAAAGAAACATGAACGTTCTGCCGCGCGGCCTCCAGGACGCCCACCAATAAGCTCTCCCTCTCACTCGCCAACCCAGGCACCTCTACTGTGGGGGTCTCACCCCCGTCCCCAACTGTGTAGCCTCCAGCCCCAGAAACCCTCACCGGACTAGCCCCTGAGACCTCTTCCACCCGAGCCTAAACCTGACTGCACTCACTGTCCTTCCTTCTCCCTACACCCCTGGAATCAATTAAATGCCTAATGTCATCTAGCAGCTCCCCCGACTGTTGTAACGACCATGTCTCACCTTCCACACCCCTTGCCACCGAAGGCTGTGGGGTTGCTGACCGACCGCGGATCTCCTGCCCCAAGCGTCCCGCTGCTCCAGTCCGTGCTCCTGATGCGCTGGGTCTCACCCGATCCACGGGGGACCTGGAAGATGCCTGTCCGGTAACCGGGTACGCCTTGCATGCCGGCGACCGTCCTGCTGTCCTTGTCGCGTGGGGTCTCTCCCCTCGAAAACCTGAAAGGAGAAGACATCCTGGGTATGCTGGCCGTAGAAACCCTGCCCCGTCCCCTCTCGTCCTGGGAACAGCCCCCCATCTCCCTGCTAGCCGTGTCCCCCCGAGGGTCATGAGCCTGCACAGCAGCCCGCCTCCTCTCCGGGGAACTCCCGCTCGTGGAACTGCCATCTTGCTGCGACCATCCCCTTGAACCATCAGGGGGCGCCCTATGCCTCCCCAGGGTGTGGTCCACCCCGCGGGGGTCCCTGTCAACTACGTCAGCTACCCTCTGATGGCTGCTTCGTGACCAGTTCCTCCCGGCACCTTGCGCGCCCTTCGCTTTAGCCCTGCACGCTGTCATCTTCGCTGGTGCCAACCTTTTGCGCTGTTCATCGCTGTTACTCCCTTCCGATCCTCCCCTAACTACCAGCCTCGTATAGGAAAACCCGGGGAAGCGCTGCGCTCCTGCCCGCTGCCTGATGACCCTCTGTTCCATCTTGCTGCGCTATACCCATCCGGCCCGCTCCGTGCCTTAGCCGTCCCCTGTCTGCCTCTTTCCCCCCTGCCGTCACTAGCCAAGCCAACACCAGGGCCCACCCCCGGGGTAACCCGTGGCCCAGCCATTGGCGGGGCATTGGCGTCAGAGGTCGACTCACCCGGACGGTGTATAGCCGTTGTCCCTGTTCCTCCAACAGCGCTTCCAGAGTTCCCGTGACCTGCTGCCAAGCCTGCTGTACTGCTCATCCTTCTTCCACTGGCCCGTGCTTGTCCAGGCCCCTTTCCAGGACTCCTATCACCTGCGGCCGCTTCTCCTTCATTCCCTGCAAAAGAAGACACGAAAACCGAATGTTCGGCAGTTTTGTTGCCTCCCCGTTCGGCAGCCGAACAGCCGGCAGTATGGCTACCTCCCCGTTCAACTCCCGAATGTTCGGCAGTTCTTTCACCTCCCCGTTCGGGAACCGAAAGGTCGGCAGTAACAGTACCTCCACGTTCGGCTCCCAAACGTTCGGCAGTTGTCTCCCATTCACCAGTTCGCCTACCTTCATGTTCGCCTCCCGAACGTTCGGCAGTTTCCGCAAGTTTGCTGGTTCGCATACCTCCACGTTCACCTCCCGAACGTTCGGCAGTCTCCGATTCGGTTCCCAAACCTGCAGCCTGCACCTCCAGCCTCGCTTGACGGCTCGTTCGCGCGATTGCGCCGCGACACCGTCCACGACCTCCTCCACTTGTGGCCTCCCCGCCGGCACTCTCCTCACTGCCATTGGGACCTCCGGAAGGGCTTTTCTGACGCCGAGGCACGGGAACCACGCTGGGGCTCAACCGCTGTGGAGGCTTGGTCTTCCTGACCGGCCTCTGACCCTGGGAACCTCCAGATCCGGATGGCAGAGCATCACCCAGGCAATCCCTGAGCCACTCGATCCCCCTCTCCTGCACAGCAGCCTGGACTCCTTCCAGCCAATCTTCCATCTTGCTGACCTGCAGAGGAAACAAAGAAAACAGCCACACAAATCCTGCTACAACAAACAGGTAGTGTGACTTAGATTAAAGTGATCCTTGGATCTAAAATGGCCACTACTTATACTCCCCTTGAAACTCCAGCCCAGCATTACCAGTGACCAAACCCTGACCCCCTGACCTTTATATGGCCTGTCTCCTGGCAATGTCGAGGCCCACTCCCCTTAGCTACGCTGCTAAGGATAAGCAATGAATTCTGGCTGTTGGCAACATGGTATTATGATGCTCCTCCACAGCACACATTGAGAAGAAGGACAGTACATTTATTGCTTAAATGGCAATATAGAAAATACGGCTTTTGCAATAGGGACCCTGTCTGGACTGGGATCCTCTAAGCACTGATCGCAATAGTGACCATTGTGACCATGGTAGTTCTGCCGCTGGTTCTCACTACAATCCTTTGATTGGGCTTCCAGGTGCCCCACTTCTAAACTGCCATTACTCTGCAAAATGAATGAAACAAACTCTTGGCATTCCAAACAAAAGCTCAGAGCCAACCGTTATGAAATATGGGACTGTCACTATAAGGTCCTTGTAGAGAGAATACAATGAACTATTCTGTTCCATTTGATAACATTTAAAATGAAGGAATTATATACAATGAGTAAGACTAAAGTTTGATTTAGGAGCGTGTCATCCATCCAGCATTCAAACTGTACTTTATCAAATCGTATATGCTATCATTAAAAAGTTTAATTTTAAATTACAGTTTTTTATCCAGGTTATCCCTGATATTGCTAGTGTGTACTATGCAGGATAGACATCTTCATTATTAATATCTTGTAAATGTAGAAATAACCCTTTTCTTCTTTTCTGTACTGTTTTACTTATATTATTATTATTATTATTATTATTATTGCCATTTATATAGCACCAACAGATTCTGTAGCTCTTTACAATGTTATGAGAGGGGGGTTTAACTATAAATAGGGCAATTACAAAAAACTTAGGTTGGAGAGGACCCTGCTCAAACGAGCTTACATTCTATAGGAGGGGGGTTGTAAAACACAATAGGACATTAAAGTTCAAAAACTAAAACTAAAAATATATATATATCCTTCATTTTAAGCAATCAATATACATGTTACAGCAAGTACCGAGTATAAGTCGACCTGAATATAAGTCGAGACCCCTAATTTTACCCCAAAAAACTGGGAAAACTTATTGACTCGAGTATAAGACTAGGGTGGAAAATGCAGCAGCTACTGGTAAATTTCTAAATAAAATTAGATCCCCCAAAAATTATATTGATTGAATATTTATTTACAGTGTGTGTATATAATAAATGCAGTGTGTGTGTATATAATGCAGTGTGTTTGTATGAATGCAGTGTGTGTGTGTATGAGTGCAGTGTGTGTGTGTGTGTATGCGTGCAGTGTGTGTGTGTGTGTGTGTGTGTGTGTGTGTGTGTGTGAATGAATGCAGTGTGTGTGTGTATGAATGCAATGTGTGTGTGTGTGTATGAATGCAGTGTGTGTGTGTATGAATGCAGTGTGTGTGTATGAATGCAGTGTGTGTATGTGATGCAGAGCCTTGGTGGGGGGTGGACATTTTTATTTTTTAATTATTATTATTTTTTTAATTTATATTATTAATATTTTTTTATTTTAATATTATTTAATTTTTTATTTATATTTTTTTTGTCCCCCCTCCATGCTTGTTAGCTGGCCAAGGAGGGGGGCTCTCATTCCCTGGTGGTCCAGTGGATGGGCTGTGTAGGAGGGGGGCAGGCAGGAAGCTGTAACTTACCTTTCCTGCAGCTCCTGTCAGCTCCCTTCACCTCCGGTCCGGTCAGCTCCCTTCTCTTCCACTGTAATTCTCGCGGTGTGACTGCTGCGCGGACCCCGTGGCTCTCGCGAGACTTACACTGGAGGAGAAGGGAGCTGACCAGACCGGAGGAGAGAGAAGGGAGCTGACAGGAGCTGCAGGAAAGGTAAGTAACAGCTCGCTGCCAGCCCCCAACAGGACCGCCGGGCTTGTAATGAGCCCCTGCGATCCTTGTCTGTATTATGGCAATGTAAGTTGCCATAATACAGACATTGACTCGAGTATAAGTCGAGTGGGGGTTTTTCAGCACAAAAAAGGTGCTGAAAAACTCTACTTATACTCGACTATATACGGGTATGTCATTAAAAATATGCTTTCCCATTTTTTTATTAATCTGTAACACTGGCAATACAGTTTGGTATCCATTAATGTACGCAACTAAAAAAGAGATCATGGCGATTTATTCATTTTACTCATTAACGGGGCGACCCGGTTATATCATTTGGTGAGCGAATGATGCATGTTTTGTTATACCTAGTATGTCCAAGACAGGAGGAGTCTTATACTTCAATACTATAAAAATATAGTCTACATTTTGCCCCTTATAAAATTCTTCCACCTAATAACATAATGCTACTGCAACATGAAAAAATTCAAGTTTGAGAATAGTTTAATTGCTCAATAATCCCAGTGCTCAGTGTGTTCTATCGTCCCACAGGCAATACAGCACTAGCAGAATCTATATACTCTCGAAGAAGAAGATCTAGGCCGAACATCTTTGCATTACTGAAATTGTGCTAACTGTGTTAATATTCATCAGAACTGTTTAAATTACTATACCTTCCAAAAAAGAAATATATGCCACTAAATCATAAGCTGATATGTGTGAAACTGCAATACCTGATTGCAGTTTATATGCTGTAACGGATCACCTGGAACCCCGACTGGGTACCTCCGTTGAAGGATGCTCCGAGCGCTTCCTGAGGACTCCAAGCACTGCAGCAGACACCACAACCACCGAACCGGAGAAGCATTGAATGCTCTCAAGCATATGAATGCTGTAAGCAGCTGAACAGGAAAAGCATTACACTCCTGGCAATCAGCATACAATCCAATTCCCCCAATAATGAGACGACACTTCGTTTTGAGGTCAAGCAGAACTGACTGTACTTGCATATACAGCCTCTTTTATTCACAATCCACAAACATAGCACAGACCACAGGGTTTTGAAATACAACCAATCAATCCGTACAATACACACAGACACTCCCACACAAAATCCTCCCCTCTGCCTGTGATATGATTACTGAACACAATGGTTAATATAATTATCACAGGCAGAGAAATACAGTATTATAAAACATATCACAGGGACCCCAAAACATGCAATAACCCCATAAAAGTATATCTTCGGAAGCGGTGGATCTGGGTGAACCACATATCCAAAATTCACCCAGATCCGTTCAGTAGTTTGGAAGATACCGTTTAATGCAGATTCTGCAGAACATATACAAGCTATATGAAAAATAATTACTGTATAATGTGTCCCCTGTTGTATAGTTTAAAACTACTGCACGATGTCTTTGTGCACCAAATACCGGCGAGATGGCACCGTGTAGAAAAGTCCAAACAGTGTCTGTGAGTTAAAATAGCTGCCAAAAATAAAAGGTTATAGACACTACCTATAATATAAGAGAAACAAGGGGCAGCAGTGAATCCCACAAGGATTCCCAAACCTAGTGTATTGCAAAGAAATAGAGAAAAACAAGGATGCACAGCGCCAGAAACCTCAGTGTGCACTTAATATGTACATAGAACACTGGCATATTCCAATTTAATTAACCTAAAAAAATAATAATAATAATACGCTCCTTCAAAATGGTTTCATCTCAGAATTCAAAAACCATACCTAAATTAAAAATATTCCCTCATAAATGGGGAATCTAAAGAGAAGGATACAAAAATTAAAATATATCCTTGACTGGAAAAACTAAAAAACTGTTTTATTTCTTTAGCGTTAAAAAAACCCACACAAATATGTGAAATTGCTGTAGTAATGCAGTAATAAGAACTCTCCCAAAGCATCAAGCCAGAGACACTACCTCAAAGACTTTTATATCCAATGGGTGTACATATACCTTTGGGAGTATCAATGTAGCTCAATTATTGAACGTCAGAACCCCTCTGGAGAATCCAACCTCCTGCTACAAAAAATAGGCAAACAAGTCTGTGATGGAATGCCGTCAAGAAGTACCATGCCCACAGATACCCACTTGCTTGCCTGCTACTGTTTTCCGATCCTCATGCTGGGGATTGCCCTACCTGCTCCTAATGGAGCTATAATCACTGTTTTTCCTGAGGAGATCCAGGGACTTCATATCTGCAGCCAGACTGTCAGCAAGCCGGACCGCAACTGCTGGGCCTCCCTACCCAGGAGCTATGAGTCCAAGCTAGTAGCTGCCAAAAGCGAGCTTTATCTGGTGCTACCTAAGTAGAGATATCCACCGTAGAGAGGCTCGAGCACTAGAAGACTCCCTGGAACTATGAGTCGGCTTCACAGTCGCAGAGTCCCACCGGCTGCATGGAAGTCCGTGCCGAACATGAGGAGAAGGAGCTCCGGTTCAAACTAGGTTTGCCCCCTTTCTCCCCATTGACCAGCGAAACACCTCCCTTGCCCGAGCGCCGATTGGTGCAAGTGGGTTTCACGCCCTTTCTGCTGGTGGTTTAGGTGCGACTTTTAAATCTACCGGCCTAAACCAAGTGATTCCGTGGTACTGTTTTCGGGTATTACAGAGCCCCAAACCCAGATTTTGCATGCCGATTTCTCAGGCTCTGTACATCCGATCGCCCCGCTATTTGCAGGGATCCTAGCTGGGTCTCGGGGCTATCCAGGGATGTATGTGATTTGTGTGCCCTATTTCCTTCCCATGGCACGGAGCCCCCTACATTTTCCCCAATGTTTATGATGTGTTTTACTGTATGTAATTGTTGTGCTGTTGGTGTCTCCCAGAGCGGCAGATGGCTATCTGTAAACCATCCCCCTCCAGCCTGAGACTGAGGGACTTGTGCTGAATAGAATGGAGACACCCTGAGGGGGGTCTGTGTATAACTTGGCTGTACCAATAAATCAGTTTAGTAGTGTTGTACTCCCAGAACTGTGTATCATCCAGTTACTGGGGGGAATGGGTGTCTTTATACTTTAAGTGGTTCCAGAGTGGCTAAGGGAAGGAATTAGTGGAGGTAACCAGTCGGGTTACCCGTCGTCCGTTACAAAGTCGATGGCTTTTTTGTGTGTCTTGCAATGTAAGTGTGTTTTTGTGTCTTCCTGTCAGTGTGAGTGTGTGTATGTGTGTGTGTCTCTGGAAGTGTGCGTACCTGTGTGATGTGACATTTTGCAATTAAATGTATGAGTGGTGTGGGATTATGTATATCTGAGTGCAATCAGACAGTCATTGTCTTTGTGTTTCTATTTTGCAGTGTATATCAGAATCTTTTTGTGTCTGTGAGTGTTTATATGTGTGTATATCCATTGTGAATATGAATTTACTGACTTCAGGTATATTGAACTATTAACTGAAGTATAATAGAGTATTCATAGGGAAATGCTATGAAACTAAACTACTTCAGCTCAATGTTGTGGTTTTGGTGAATTAATTAATATATAGAGTATGCCCATAAAGTCTTACTGCTCAATTCCCTGCTGTATAAACAGAAAGACAAGTAATTCAGCTCATAAACAGCAGAAAATTGCACACTGAGACTGCGGGGGCATGTGCTATACACCAAAAATGCTTCATTAAGATACCAATACTTTGGTGCTTAGAGTGTATCTTTGAATAAAACAAAAGAAAAAGTCCTGTGTTACATCATTAAGTCTATAAACAATTTTAAAATAGCTCCTAACGCAATAATTTTTTAAGGCTGCCAATACAATGAATAGTTTATAGACACACCTTGATAGAAAACTATTTCCAAAACATACAATCCCTGTGGATGTTTAAATGGTTTAATACTGGTTACATTACAGGCCAGCTGAAAGGGACACGTAGAGACAATTAAACTGGCTGCAGTGCAATACATATTATGAAATCACTTTGCCAACAGCCTTTCACTTTTTAATGGAGAAAGTATTGCTGGTTAGACAAACTTTTGTTTTATTATTTATATTTTTTTTTTGCGTATTCATCAATGGCATGCATCACTTTTGAAGAAAAAAAAATTACTTTGAAGCATCTCTTTCCTTCACATCATTACAAATGTAAGGACGGCAAAAAGGATTTGACTCTATCTGAATCCAACAGACATTCAGATCAGAAGAGGGATGTCATGCAGTTATAATGAATAGACGCAGCTGAAGGGGCTTAGCAGCATCACACGTGGGCTTGCTGACTATTGATAATAGTCTGTGGGATTGTATTTTATCATATTTCCTCTTGTTTGCTTTTAAAAAGATTTGTTCAAAATAATTAGTGACAATTGTCTGCTTTTAAAGACATTTTCAGCTCCTGGTAACATTCTCATAGATGGGTGTACAGCAAACAAGTGTCACACTAAAATCAAAGAAATCAAACAGAATATGAAAAACGAGAAAGGAGCATCCGTGATTGCCTGGGGGAATTATATTTAATATTAAAATATGTGTAGCACAAAAAAATAGGGATGATGAGGTGAGGATGGAGATAACATTGACATTCGAAAGATTTAAAACTTCACAGCATGAGCTCACAGAAAGAAAGGTGCCAAAATGTTACCTTTTTCAGAATAGTGTTATATTTTTATGTAAAATATACAACTGTAAACTAGATAACTTAATCTCTAAACCATTAATTTATGATACAATATTATGGAAGTTACACAACAACTAATCATTTGTCCTAAGTATATTTGAGTGCAATGTTTATGGCAGGGAGTTATCACCGCAATTACTATTTGCATTTATGTACTGTAGTGCTAAAACTTTACTGGAGAGCACTTGAAGCTCCATTTGCTCTGGCTCTGATTCTTGATAGAAATCTATTTTAGCTGACTGAAACCAGTGATATTACTGATCTGGCACACATGGGCAGAAAAAACAAAAAACAGAAGCCCGACAAGTGCTGGCTGAGCATGAATATAGGTGATATGCTTTGACATGGAGCGGCTTTTATCACTTGAGAAAGCCAATGTTTGAAATGCATTGAAATTATACAGAAGGAATTTTTTTTTATCTGTTTTTATTTTGTGTGGTATATTATAGTAAACATTGTTTTTACCCTCAAAAATGTATGTTTATTTTTAAGTAAATTTTTTCCTGCATTTTAATAAAAACCTCCACATCTACCTACATATATCCTTGGTTGGGATCATACCACCCAAGCTGATATTATTAAGCAAAAGGTGCTCTTGAAATTGTGAGTAGATTTTATATATTTTTTAAAAGTACTATTGTTTAAAACAGTGAGCACTATATCTGTAGAATATTACATATTCTATATGTTCCTATTCAAATACATATTAAGGTGTGCATGTCTAATGGGTTAAAAAGAACAGATGGTGTTTGCTATTCTGTACCATGAGGACTCTGGAATGTGCTGTATAGGGAGATTGGGGTAGGGTTCTATGGGGAGAGTCTAAATGAAAGGTTATGACGTAATTTTGCCTATAAAGAACTGAGGACAAAGGATCACGCTCTGTCTTTCTCCTATGATCCGCTCTCCTCTCCTGGTGTGTCCCTGACTTGCTGATACAAAGAGGACTACCGTATTTATCGGCGTATAACACGCACCGGCGTATAACACGCACCTCATTTTAAGAAGGAAATTTCAGGGAAAAAAAACTTAAAGGACCACTATAGTGCCAGGAAACTATAGTCCCCCTCCTCTTACCCCCTTTCTTACTCCCCCTCCCCCTCTTCTTACTTCCCTCTCCCCCTCTTACCCCTTCCCCTCTTGTTCCCCCCTCCCTCTTCTTACCCCCTCCCCTCTTCTTACCCCCCTCCCCTCTTGTTGCCTCCCTTCCCCTCTTGTTACCCCCCCCCTCTTGTTGCCCCCCCTCCCTCTTCTTACCCCCCCTCCCTCTTGTTGCCCCCTTCCCTCTTGTTGGCCCCCTCCCCTCTTGTTTCTTTTTAGCCCCTCCCTCTTCCTCCCCTCCCCTTTCTTACTCCCCTCTTCTCTGTAGGCGTGGCCGGGCAGCTCTGCTGTCAGCGGTGGCCGGCGGGTGATAGGAAGGTGCAGCTCAGTGTGCACCTTCCTGTCGTCGACGGTACAAGAAACTCCTGTTCGCGGAACGAAGCGCGCTACAGGGGAGGTGAGGACCAACTGCAGCCGCCTGAGCGCTCTTGACAGAGCACTCAGGCGGCTGCAGAATTTAAAGGGCCGGCGTATAACACGCACCCACAATTTCTCCCCTATTTTCAGGGAGAAAAAGTGCGTGTTATACGCCGATAAATACGGTACTTAAGATCTCTCACTCTCTGTAACATCGTTAAGAAATACCATCTGTTATGTATATTATTGTTTGCTCTTGAAGTAGAATAAATGCATATTTTTTATAAAGAGCGTCAGATTGCTTATTAGTACTTTTTGGTTAATATAGATTTATATTAACCTGACGGGCCTTTTACCAAAGAAGATATATATATATATATATATATATATATTTATTTGTGCTCGGAATTTAATGCGTAATGGATAGTATCTGAAAGGGCAAAGTTGGTTGTGGTGTGCTGAAACCAACGTACGAGTGGGCCTGTAAATAAAAGAGGGCCCACCAAGGAGAATGTAATGATAACAGGGTGTAGGTGGGTGGGGACAATCAACTGGACCGGCAGAGGTGAGTAGGGGCTGGGAGTTTAAGTAGGGGACTTACTTCTCCCACATATTCAGGCCTAATGGCCTTTCTACTTGTGATCGGAATTTAATACGTGATGCATAGTATATGAAAGGGCAAAGCTGGTTGTGGGCCTGTAAATAAAAGAGGGTAAAAGAGAAGTTCGAGAAAATACACACTTCATTGCCTTTTTTACATAATCAAGTTCCTGAAAGCTTGACAAAGCTCTTTTTCTGGTCGTGGTATATATGTATGATATATGGAGGATTTCCAATGACCCAGTCTCTTGATGATGTGGACCAGGGTGTTTGTGCTAGAGGCTGATGAAGCGGCTCCTATGCGGAATGAGTGCCCGGAGAATGAAGCCGGATTGTAACCCAGTTTGGATAGTAGTGTACTGATGTGTGTCGTGAATTTAGCCGTGGTGAGCGGGTGCCCTTGTAGTGATAAGAGCGGAGAGTCTGGTAAGTGCGCGTGATTGGTTGACCGTAGGTGCTCTAGCGCCTTGACCGGACACCAGGCATTATCGGTAGTGAAGAGAGGAATTATGTTGGGGTGTTGTGAGTGATTAGTTTTAGTTGATGGAATCGTAAGTAGGTAGTGATCCTCCACCTTAGTGAGGTGTGATGATTTTAGGCTGTGCGTGATATCTCCATTACAAACAATGGTGAACTCTCTGGGTCTGAGAAAACCGTAGAAAGCAAGATAAATAGCAGATTTGATCACCAGGTTTGTGTTGGGATCGAACGGGGATTCGTCAAGGAGATTGCTAAGTGATTTAAAGATAGGCCCATCTATAGGTAGTCTTGTGGTGGTGAGTGGAACCGAAACCTTTAATATACCTTTCAAGACCTTTTTAATGGGATATGATGACAAGAAGGGGGTGTTGTTAGGAAAATTGGTGAGGCTATGGTGCTGAACCCTGGTGAGGTAAAGTTTAACGGTGTTGTGAGAAAGTTTAAGATGTAGATGGCAGAAAGAGGCAAAAGCCACCATGGTTTGTGTAGAGAAGTCGCCTTGTAAACCGAATTCTGCAGTGAATTTGTTAAAAATGGTAAGTGCCCTATTGTATGAAATAGCTGTGTTAGGTGATAGTGCTTGGTGAGTGAGAGTCCTCGCGTGGTGCATTAGTGTGCTCAATCCAGGATTAGTTCGTGAAATTGTGGTGTCCTGGAAGGCTTGTGGTGAGCCGTAGGGAGTGCCTGGAAGAATACCTGGAATTGAGAGCGAGAAAGAGCATCAGCGGCCGTGTTGTGGGTGCCCGGGATGTGAAAACAAACTAAATGAAACTGGACGGTTGCTGCCAGCCAGGTCAGCTTGCGAATCAGCCGCATAATGGTAAGGGATGATGAGCGCCCCTTGTTTATGATTTCGCAAGCCACCGAGTTATCAGAATAGAATTTTACTGCCTTGCCGGACTAGAGATGACCCCAGGTGTGTGCGGCTGCCATGATGGGATAAATTTCGAATAGGGCTGAGGTTTCCTTGAATCCTGGCAAGGCATCTGTCTCAGCGGGCCAGTGACCCCTGAACCAGTGCTTCCTGAAGATGGCTGAGACCAGAGTTGGCTGCAGCGTCTGTGTGGATGATGGGTGAACAAATGGGGAGAGGGGGGATAAACATGGAGATACCGTTCCAATCTGCCAAAAACTTCCCCCACATAGCTAAGTCAGCCTTGGCGTGGGGGTCCAATGAAACTGGGCAAGAGTCCGGTACCCCATGGAGCAGGCAAAGAAGCCTGGATATAAAAGACCTTCCCTGCGGGATGATGCGCATGGCGAAGTTAAGGGATCCCAGAAGGGACTGAAGTTCCCTTCTGGTGCAAACATCATTCCACAGTAACATGTCTATCTCCCCTCTCTAGCGGATCAGTTTGTCGTGGGGAAGGCTATCTCGGAGGGTAACAGAGTCTAGCTCTATCCCCAAAAAGGTTAATTTAGTTGTGGGGCCGATTGTTTTTGATGGAGATAATGGTACACCAAGTGTGGAAAAAAGTGCTGTAGTACTGCTGATAGTGGTGGGTGTTTGTACCCCTGGCTCTATCAGTAAGAAGTCGTCTAAGTAATGGATAACAGAGTTACACCTGAGGACGTTCAGAAGCAGCCAGCATAGCGTCTCGGCAAAGATATCGAACAGTTTGGGGCTGCTTCGAGAACCGAAAGTGAGTCGTGTGGAGAAGTAGTACTTTTCTCGCCATTTAACACCGTGCAAGTGCCAGAGTGAGGGGTGCATGGGTAGTAATTTAAAAGCATTTGTGATGTCCATTTTGCTGAGCCAGGGGTGACTACCAGATGAGATAATGGATTGTATGGCGACATCAATTGTTACATACTGAAGTGAGAATTCATCTGCGGGTATGAGTGCGTTTATGCTGGGAACAAAAGAGGAGTGCGGTGCTGATAAATCAATAATTAGACTTTTTTATTAGAATATTTGTGTACTGCGACACCAATAGGGTTAGTGCGCCAAGAGGAAAACGGTGAGGAGGTGAAGGGGCCGATCATGAAACCGTTGGTAATTTCGGAGGAAAGGAGAGTGTCTGTGGAAACTGGATCTTGGCATGCTGACAATAGATTGGGACATTCCAGTGTGCCCGTGGGGATGGCTACAATACCCGTTTAAAAACCCTGTGTGAACCCAGTGGTCAGATATTCCACCAAATGCCTGCTAGGGTGTGTCCTGGTAAAAAACCATGCTGTCGACATTGATGTCGGTTAATCATTTGTTAGGGGACAACCTGGCCGGGCACATGGTCTTGGTATGTGCCCTAAAGCATATAGAATAGATGTGCAACAATCTACAGGCGCTGAAACTGCAAGAGTCTGCGTTGAAATTATTGCACACCTGAGCTTTACCTAGAAAGGAGATGGGCCTACCCAGCTTATCACGTAGACCGCCCGCTGATTTGTTGTGAGGGGTGAAAGTGGGATGAGGGGTGGGAGTGGAGGTGATAGGATCGGCTTCGGAAGGACATAAGTCTGCCGTATGAGATGTAGAGTTACATACGGTGCAAGGCGGGGGCCTGAGACCAGCGAAGTGGCGACAGAATAGTTCTGTGTCCATCTGACACCAGTTAATTCTGACATTGAACTGATTCAGATGGGTCGCCGCCTTCGCTGATACCGACTTATGATAGTGGTAAAAAGATGAGCCCCAGTACTTGATGCCTAAATCCACCACCTTGTGGAGGTAGAGGTCTAGCTCTTCTCTTCTGTGTGGATACACCGTGCACATGACATCACGGTATATCCTGAAGGCAATCACGAACTGAGGTATGGATAATTTTTTGTTGAGTCTGGGGTCTCTAGTCTTAAGCACCACTAAATTGTCCTCGTAATTGTATGCCCTGTTTTCCAGTATGTCTTGGGATGCTATAAGAAGAGACACCAGACACACGTCCTTCCCATCTAGGATTTCTTTCCTGATAGAGTCTGGGACGGAGTGAGCTGGTGACTCGAAAGGAGAAATAGCTGTGGCTGGTGCTGGAGAGGGGAGTATGGAGGGGCATGGTGGTACAGCGGGGACGGCCAGGGTGGCGACTGGGAGGCCTGGGGAGACAATGGCGCTCTCCACATTAGATAGCCTGTTATTCAAAGTCTGCAAGTTGGCCAAGATTGCTGCTAGGGTATCCTGGGTGGCCGTGCCAGCGCTTGGTGGCTGTCCTTGAGAGCTAGTGCCTGGCCTAGGCTCAGGGGCTTGGTAGGTGAGCAGTCTGTAGAGTTCCGCCTTTCTAGCCGTAGCTGGAAAGGGGATTCCCCTGAGCCTAAGTTTGGCCGTAATTTTAGGGATAGTCCATGCTCTCAAGGACGTGGGAGTTGAGGGGGTGAGAGATTCGCATGGAGACTCTGGTCTGATGGGCGTAAACAGGATCTCTTCGGGCAACTCTTCGATAGGGGCTGGCTCTTGAGACATTCTAAAAATTATTTAGTGAATTAGATATTAGAAGGGGAGTAGGGGAACCGGGAGGGATATGAGGGGGTCTTTTAGATGAACTGGACTGTAATGCTAGTGTCGAAGCGAAAAACTTAACTGTGAATTGGTGATAGGTGAGGCCCTGCTAATGCCAAGTGGTGATTTGGCTTAGGGAAATCGTGGCCACAGACGTGGTGGCGGGGTGTGACAGTAAAGAGATTCAAAACGTGTGGCCCTGACGGGTGAGGCCCTGACTACAGCCCTGTAGTAGTGCGGGCGAGGCGTATAACTATGATTTGGGTGTGGGGCCATACCTCTGTGTTGAGGTGGGAGATGGCCTTGCAGGACCGGATTTTTTACTAGGGTGAGCTAGAGCCGTAGCCTAGACCCTGCAAGCCAGTTCACTTGTATACTTAAGGCTGAATGGTAATTCTGGTGTAATGTGTGGATACTAACCTTTAAGGGGTTATAATCGAGAACTTGCACCTTCAAATGTTTTTATGTAGCGAGTCTTGGCTCCTGCTGTCCTCGTAGAAGAAGCCTAAGGATTAAGACAGATGTTGATGTATTTATGCGTAACGTGGTGGCGTATGATTTGTAGTAAGGGTTGGCTGTTAGGAGCGCAACATGAGATCCTGAAGTGAGGGATCTGAATGGTTAGTCTAAGACGTTATAGAGAGAGGCTGATTGAAGCCTTGGGGTAGTGAATGCCGTAACGAATAAGGACATAAGTACCTGGTAGTGTGGCTGAGTACCGGGTTAGGTAGGTTGGGTAGTTTCTTGCCTGATGGCAGTATGACCGTATGCCTAGGTAGAAAAATGTAAAGAATTTAACACACCAAGGACGTAGGACCGTGAGTTAATCGTAATGAATTGAGACCGCATTAGGTCTTGTATGAAAAGGTCCTGTAATGAGTAGAGAAATATACCTTGATTTGTTATACAGGTACTTGGATGAGCGTAACTGGTTTTCCTGCGTAGAAACCGGTGGAGGCCTAGAATAATTCTGGAGCTATGGATTAAACCCATTAAATATTTAATAATTAGCGAATGCTGTGCCAGTATGCTATAAATAACCAATTTACACTGTGACAAGTATAGAGTGCATGTAGTATTGAGGCATGGACATGGTTGAAACCATGGTGAGTAAATACTATACCTGGGTTTGTAAATACAAGACCTTGAATTTGCTATTTTAAACAGAAATAAGAGAAACCGAGGCAATCTGTGGAGCCAAAGAAATGTAACAGAGGCAGGATTAATGACTGAGTAACTTTAAGGAGAAAACGTAGTTAATTAAAATAAAAATTGAGGGGTTTTACCAGTATTACCCTAGGAGATCGTGTTAATAATAATATATGTATGTAGTGTTTGAACAAGGTTGGTGTGGAGTTAAAGTATTCTGCCCTTTTAGTTTGGTTTCAGGAGGAATTTATTTTAATTGATTAATGAACATTAAACATAGTTTACTAACCACTTAGGTGTAGGAAAAAGAACCGATTACTAAGATACAGTGGCTGGGGTTTTAATATATTAAACATAGTTAACCGGAAAAAACTGTTTAGGTGGTAAATGGTTGTAGTTTTAAGTGGATTTAATAACTCCTACTGACAGGTTAGTACAAACAGTTAAATAATCGAACAGAAAGTATGTATTATTATATGAATTTGTGTGCACGAAATGCTTGTATTATTTTGAACGGGGATCGGTAGTTTTAGCCGTAGGAGAGACCTGCTTAGGTTAAGTATAATGTGCGTTCGTTTAATCCCGCACGAATAGCAATAGCATGAATCAGGTAAGTATGCGAGGGGTGAACAGGATTTTACACGAATCGCTTAAAATGCCCGAACGGGTAAGTAAATAAATACATGGTTCGTGCGTATGACCGAACGGTAAAACAGAATTGTAACGATTAGCACCATAGTTATGCCCGTACGTAGTTCGGCAGTTTAGATCGTATGAAGGCCCCCATGATACGTAAGTATAGCGGGCGTTCGTCTAATTTAGTGGCGCGAGCGCGGAAATGCACGAACAGGTAAGTATACGTGAACTGGTAATGTGAGAGAAAAAGCGAGCCTACCACTACGTTTTTAGGCCCGAACAGAGGGAAATACCTGAACGCTATTTCCCTCACTAGCTTACGCGAGCGTGCCGGTCTCATGACCGGAAGCCAAGTACCACGGCCGGGAAGAAGACGGGTGGCAGGGCTGCAGAACGGACAGAGGATTCCACTGGACACCTCTTACTGCAGGAGACTGGAGCTGTTTGGCGGGAAACTCGGACCGGAAGTGCTGGTTGCTATGGAGATAGACAATCAACTGGACCGGCAGAGGTGAGTAGGGGCTGGGAGTTTAAGTAGGGGACTTACTCCTCCCACAAATTCAGGCCTAATGGCCTTTCTACATATATATATATATATATATATATATAAAAAAAGACTTATTCAACTGAGAAAACACAGACTAGTTATTACATTGGTGAGCTGAGACAGACGTGTTTGATAGTCTTTCACACTTCAATTAGTGGGGAGTAGTACAGAGGAAGAGATAGAGGACAGATCGAATTAGTCTTTGTGAAAGCAGCTTGAATTGAAGCCTGTGCAACCAGAAAAAGAAAAGAATCGTGTGTGTTTGTAAGAAGAAAAATATTTTTCAAATCACAAAGACTGTTCCAAGATTATTTTCTACAACAGACAAAAGCACATGTTATGAAGAAAGCAGCACAGATACAACGTGTATTCTGCAAGCAAGCACGTGGCAGAGATTGGCAAGCGTCCAGAAGATAATCCACAGTGCGCAGCTGCATGAGTGAAGACAGATGGTGTCATGCATTAAAGATAATCTTGTCTGGTGAGTAATAATGGATTTTGTTACTGATATTGCAGAGAAAAGTAAACTTGATTTTGTAATTAATAGCAGCTATACAGATAGTCAATTATGGGCAAGTTTGTATGAGCAGTGTAAACAAGCAAACACAGCAATTGGTAATAAATTGTTATGTTTAAATAAAACAAAAAAGAAGATTAGAAATGTTTTAAAATTGGTAGAAACATTTGACACAATGATTCTTAGAACAGGAGTGTCTCTGACAAAATTGCAAGTACCAAAACAAGTAGAGGTGAAAGATTTTAAAAGTACACAGACAGACATTAAAGATAAATCTTTGTGAGTAACAGAAATTAAATGTACTAACTGTGACAGACTTCAGGCAAAACAGTTGGATCTTAAGTCTGAACTGGTTTCTAAAATTAGAACTGAAGCCAAACAGTTGTGTGTGATTACAAGGAGTTATCATAATTTGAGCCAGTCGATGTCACAGAAATATTATCACAGTCTGATTTGCAATGTAGAAAATTGTTAGATAAAGCTGCAAAACGTAATTCAAGAGCAGTTGATGAAAGTTTCCAAAAATATTTCTCCATATAATCCATCAATAGATGCCTTTGGTATTGCAGACGTATTTGAGTCTAATGTATCAAAACATAATTTGAATGACAAACAAAGGAACAGATTGTTTAAAATATGGCTGCCAACGTACATTGCACGTTGATTGACCCCACCTATCAGTTCCCACTCTGGTGAAGATGGTGAACTTGTACACGGGAATGAGCGAGGTAGATTGATACAATTAATAAGATTAACAACAGGAAATGAGAGTGTGGATATTGAGGGTTTAGAAAAATTAAAACCAAATATAAATGACGATGTATTCAGTTTCATTTTGAAATTTGAACGAACATATAGGTTGCTAATGGGCATTCCTGATGATCAGACACCAAAATCTATGATAAATGCATTCATACAAATTTTTTAATTTCTAGATCCTATATCTATTGCATGTGCACTGCAGTGTCAAACTATTGAGGATGCAGCATCATTTCTAGATAGGGTTAAGATAGAATCAAGACAACAAAACAGTTAAAAATCTGTCTGTGAAATAAAGAGAGACAGGAGGGACTAACAGCCCAGGCACAGGAAAAGCCCTCCTCATTCGTCTCCTGCAGCTGTTAGATCACAGACAAAGAGAAGAGATGTCCAAACTTTTAACAACCCCCACTCACACTATGAAAAAAACTCGACATATGGTCTTGTCTGTTTCTATTGCAATAAGCAAGGCCATATAAAAAGAAACTGCAGGAAATATTTTTTTATGATTTACAATCAAGTGATCATGGTAAATCAAATGGATTTATTCAAAATAATCATAATATAGAAAACAACAGAGATTAACCATATAGTCCTCTGATAAGGCAAGTGAGAGAAATTGTAGCTTCTTCAAATACTGGAGACAGACAGGGTGTGATTTCCAACATTTCTAATGAGGCAGACCAAATTTTAAAAAATGACAATCTGAAGGTATATAACAAGTTACAACTACTTTTATCACCAAGTGCACCTATATGTACAATTGTAGGATTTGACAGAGGTTACTTTGGAAATACCTCAGTGTTTAAAAACAAAAATGATATCTGGTACTGGAAAAATTTTGATTATATCATAGGCACAGATGTTATGCAAAGAAGAGGTTGGATTGTTGACTTGGGAAACAAAGTTATTTGGAAAAATGCTAAGGGTAGGAAACCAGTGCTATTGGATCCTTCTGAATATGGGGAGTTAGGAATTGTTTGTCCAGTAGAAGTAGTATCTAAAGAAATGCAATGGCCTAATACTAGGGATAACCTTGAACTTAAAGAGATTGTACAGAGTTATCCAGATTTATGGGCGCAAAGTAAAAATTAATGTGGAAGGTTTAAAAATGTGTTGACTGACATTCAAGGTCCTGATCCACTCCCACAGAGCCAGTATCGATTACCCCCAGATTCAATTGATTCTATTGCAAGTGTCACTAATGATTTGAAACAGAGAGGGGTGATTAGGAAAGCAAATAGTCCATGTAACAGTAACATTTGGCCAGTATTAAAAGTTTGCTTTTACGTTTCAAAATCAGCAATATGTGTTTACTGTGTTACCTCAGGGATTTCACAGTTCTCCAATATATTTTCATCAGGCCTTGGTAAATGTTTTGGCTATGTTTTCTAGGCCAGAATGCTTGTTACAATATGTTGATGATATGATTTTGTAAACTGAAACTGAGGAAGAACACCTAATTCTGTTAAATTAATTATTTTTCCTTTTGCAGAACTCTGGGTTAAAACTGAACACACGCAAAGTAACACTAATGCAACCAGAGGTACAATACTTGGTTATGCACATTGGTCCAGGACATAAGAAACCAGTGCAGGAAATAAATCAAAGCTATTGGACAGATGAACATCAGAATGCATTTGAGGTACTTAAAAGAGACTTACAGGTTGCACCTGCTTTAGCAACAATACATCCAACTGCATCCTTTGCAATTCAAGTATATACTTCAGAGACAGCTGTCTCAGCATTACTATTACAATTGCAGCAAGAGATATGGAGAATAGTTGGATATTTTTCTAAAATTCTTTCCCCAGTAGAAAGAGGGCTAGAAATTTGTGCTAGACATTTGGTAGGAGTGCATTTTGCAGTAATGACAACTGAACACATAGTGGGATTCAAGGACGTAATTCTGCAAACACCACACACACCTTTGAAATTACTTCTTGAAAAAGGAATTCCAAGTGTGTCACATCAGAGATTTTCACAATGGTTAATAGCTCTATCACCAAAGCAGATTAAGGTAGAACATAAGGTAAAGTATGTACATCTACAACTAATGCAATATGAAGGCAAAGCCCATGAAAGTTTATCAGAACTTGAAGAGAATTTTCTTACTCTTTTCAGAAAGGAAGCAAATGAATCTGATGAACCTGTGTTTGTTGATGGGTCCAGATTCTGTTTAGATGGGAAGTAACATACAGGTTATGCCAAATGGTATCCAAAATGAGGATATTCAGTAGAACATAAATTGTCAGGTAATTTGTCAGCACAGAGAGCAGAACTAGAAGCATTAAAAACAGTACTAAAACTTGAGGAAAAAGAAGGGCGTCCCATAGTGATATATAGTGACAGTTCATATGTGGTCAGATCTCTAACAGAACATTTAGCTATATGGAAAAGAAGAGGTTTCGTAGATACATGCTATAGTTAAAGTTCCTGCCCACCAAAAAGGTAAAGATGTACTTAGTGCAGAAAATGAAATAGCTGATAAATTTGCAAAAAGAGCAGCTTTAACAGAGGAAAATGCATTGCAGACAGAGTCTATGTCAGTAGCAGTGGTTAGAAAGACCAACACACAGCTTCCAACAGGCAAAGGATTCTTTCCTTGCGGCTTCTAGGGTTGATCCAAAACCTCCATTTGTTCATGAGAACAGGGTTTTGCGTCATGACCAAAACTGAGAACTGTGTCTTGTCATGTCAGAACATCTAAAAGTGTCATTTGCACAATATAATCATGAAAGTTTAGGTCATATTGGACAGCAGAAACTGTTAGAGGTACTCAGAAATAAGTTTTATTGGAAAAGACTGTACAACAGGTAGTAAAATCATGTTTGATATGTGCACAAATAAATCCCAGACCTAAAGGACAAAAAACACCTATACAACGTATAGCACCTGCAAATGGTCCTTTGTCTACCTTACAAATTGACTTCATTGGGCCATTACCAACAGGTAAGAATAGATTAAAGTATGTGTTGGTAGTGGTGGATGTATTCTCTAAATGGTTGAAAGTAATTCCTCTAACAAAAGAGGATTCACAAAGGACAGCTTTAGTGTCATGGACACACATTTTGGGGTATTTCCTAGACTTCTAGAGTCAGACAGCACTGTGTGCTATTCTACGCATAGAGCAAAGATTCCATGTTCCATATCACCCACAATCTGCTGGGATTGTGTAACGTATGAATCGAACATTGAAATCTAGACTTTCAAAAATGTTACTTGAGAAAGGCAACACATGGGTATTTGAGGCACTATGTCTTCAGCTACACAATACACTCCATTTGAATTAATGACAGGCAGGAAAATGCAGTTGAATTTTCCTAATGAACCATATTTGTCTACCCCACAGAAAGATTCAACTGAGAAGGTCCTTACAAAATAACAGATACAATGGGACAAACAATGGGATAAGTGCAAAGACCTCTTGATGGTTCACGGAATAAACGGAGGCAAAATAGTTTTTGGGTTCATGCAGATCAGTGAAAATTGTATAAACCTACAACATAATTTGATAATATATTGATACTGCTTTGTTTTTCTTGGTTTTATATTAGATCATTTGTAAGCAGACCTACAGAGGAACGTTGGCCGGTGACAGACAATGTGTTCACAAAGACAACCGTGTAGCAAAAAGAAGTTATTCATCAGCATCCTGCTAACATTGATGACTACAGTTCTTGAAGTAGATATATTTAAGATGAACAAAATGATTTTTAATCAGGAATTAAAGAATGACTTATTGGGAAATATTAGAAAAAAGAGAGACAATGAATAAGTATTAAAAGGTCATATTTGTTTTGGGACAAAAGATGGCTATCTACAAGTATGCAATGTGCGAATTAAGTTCACATGAATTTAAACATTACAATGTTATTAATTTAAACATTACAATAGGTCCTAATGATTTATTTAGTTGGACCAAAGGTTCATTTGTACAAGATAATGTAAAAACGGGATCATGGGAACTATATCAAAACGCATATATCATGATTGTTAATGGAGAAGAAATGGTAAATTGGTCAAGTGATATGTATGTGAATGTTGCACAAATTTCAGTATCAACACGAGGACAAGGTGGTGAGATACTTTATACTATTCAATATTGGCTTATACATTTAGAGCCAGAATTCCTCTTGAAAAATAATACTCCAGGCATACCTTGGATATTGGAAATACGAGCATCTAGGAAATAGTTGACAGTAAGAGTTAACATGATGTTTCTGGTAACTGATTATGTTATGTCAGATATTATGGTGAAGCCTACTCTTGTAAATATCCAGGAAGGAAACAAAGACTTAGATTAACTTGTAGTACACATATAATTTTATCCCTGAGTCTGTAATGACATGGAAAAGGGAAGGAAAGTTTTTGGGTAGTATGTCACATACAACGTCCAAGGTTATTGAGGTGAAATGTTTGTTTTCTATTTAGACATTCCTACCTACAGTGATAGTGGAAGCCCTACCCTAATCCTGACCCTAACCCTACTCCTAACCCTCTTATACCTAATGACTGTGATATGAATGTGATACCAATAATAAATGAATGGACAGGTAAATAACATTTTGTTATGGTTTATAGATAAACCATACACAGAGGGAAATGCAGAATATTACTTATTCTATTGTGTTCCTATTCAAATACATATTATGGTGTGGATGTCTAATGGGTTAAAAAGAACAGATGATGTTTGCTATTCTGTACCATGAGGACTCGGGAATGTGCTGTGTAGGGAGATTGGGGGTAGGGTTCTTATATGGGGAGAATCTAAATGAAAAGTTATGATGTAATTTTGCCTATAAAGAACTGAGGACAAATGATCACGCTCTCTTTTTGTCCTACGATCCGCTCTCCTCTCCTGGTGTGTCCCTGACTTGCTGATACAAAGACCACTACTTAAGATCTCTCTGTAACGTTGTTAAGAAATACCATCTGTTATGTATATTATTGTTTGCTTTTGAAGTAGAATAAATGCATATTTTTTATAAAGAATGTCAGATTGCGTATTAGTACTTTTTGGTTAATATAGATATATATTAACCTGGTGGGCCTTTTACCAAAGAAGATATATATCTATATATAAAAGACTTATTCAACTGAGAAAACACAAACCAGTTATCACATTTGCGAGCTGAGTAGTACAGAGGAAGAGAAAGAGGACAGATCAAATTAGTCTTAGCAGCTTGAATTGAAGTGTGTGCAACCAGAAAAAGAAAAGAACTGTGTGTGTTTGTAAGAAGAAAAATATTTTCAAATCACAAAGACTGTTCCAAGATTATCTTCTACAATAGACAAAAGCACATGTTTTAAAGAAATCAGTACAAGATACAATGTGCATTCTGCAAGCAAGCACGTGGCAGAGATTGGCAAGCGTTCCGAAGAAAATCCACAGTGCGCAGCTGTACGGGTGAAGGCAGGTGGTGTTGTGCATTAAAGATAATCTTGTCTGGTGAGGATAATAATGGATTTTGTTACTGATATTGCAGAGAAAAGTAAACTTGATTTTGTATATAATAGCAGCTCTGCAGATCAATTGTGGGCAAGTTTGTATGAGCAGTATAAAAAACAAGCAAATACAGCAATTGATAATAAATTGTTATGCTTAAATAAAACGAAAAAGAAGATTGAAATATTTTAAAATTGGTAGAAACATTTGACACAATGATTCTTAGAACATTAGTGTATCTGACAGAATTGCAAGTACCAAAACAAGTAGAGGTGAGAGTAGAGGTGAAAGATTTAAAAAGTACACATAAATCTGTATGTGTAGACAGACCAGTTATAACAATATCTCTTTTTATTCCTTTCATATGCCGTTTATATCATGAACATCAAAAGAGGACAGCTCCAGATTTATCCTTGAGCCGGGATTGTACCGGTACAAGACCTGCATAGAAGCTCTCTCATTATGAGTTAATTTTATCTTAATTTTACCTAAAACTTTGTATATACTGGATTACACTATTGGTGGTTTCTTTTGTGTTTTATTTCATATGAGACAGAATTCCTCATCTGCACTAAAGTTTTGTCTACTTGAACACTAAGAAGGATAACAGACTGACCTCCAAAAAAGCACTACCTTCCAAAGGTTCTTATATCCAAAAAATACTTTTTCTGCTGGGATACTTTATTATTGTTATATCTCAATATTTTTATATATAATATTGTGTATACATATATATCTGTTTAAGATTATCTAGTATTTCTTATTTGGCGCAGTCTGTTTTTATTCTGTATTTGTTCATGGAGCAGCTGGGCCTAAGATGACCGACTATCTTGGAGAATGCTCAAAATACCAAGAATGTAATCCTGGATGGAGTCTTCCATATTCCTAAACCTAGTTAAGCCCTTGACACAAGCCCAAGAAACATGGTGGAACACTTCTAAGGAGTGAAGGCTAAATTGTCTTTAATGGTTGCCCTTAATGAGACCACCCAGTATGCAATCGAAAACATGACACTCATTTTATGCAGACATCTCTGGCAGTACATTATCATGGAGAAGATCGATAAACAATTCACCTTCCTTCTCCAGGAACCAGGGCCGGCGCTACCTGTTAGGCGGACTAGGTAGCCACCTAGGGCACCCCTTGGGAAGGGGCGCCGCCAGGAGCGCCGGCCCCCCTCATGCTGCAGCCGCCCGAGCGCTCTGTAGAGAGCCTCAGGTGGCTCCCTGTACCCGCGGACCATACAGAGCTTGGCCACGCTACAACAGAGGTGGGGGGGGGGGAAGAAATTGACAGGGAGGGGGAGAAAGAAATTGACAGGGAGGGAGGGAGAGAAAAAATTAACAGGCAGTGGGAAAGAAATTGACAGGGAGGGAGGAGAAAGAAATTGATAGGGGAGAGAAAGAAATTGACAGGGGGAGAAAAGAAATTGACAGGGAGAGAAAGAAATTGACAGGGGGGAAAGAAATTGACAGGGGGGGAGAAAGAAATTGACAGGCAGGGGGAGAGAAAAAAATTGACAGGCAGGGGGAGAAAGAAATTGACAGGGAGGGGAATTGACGAGGAGAGAAATAAATTGACAGGGGAGAGTGACAGGGTAGGGAGGGGGAATGAGAGTGGGGAGGGGGAGGGGAGAAGAGAGTGACAAGGGGGGAGAAGAGAGTGAAAAGGGAGGGGGGAGAAGAGAGTGACATGAGAGGGGGGGAGAAGAGAGTGACAAGGGAGGGGAGAGAAGAGAGTGACAGGGAAGGGGAAGAGTGACAAGGGGGGAGAGATTGACATCCATCACACACACACAATCACACACAATCACACACAATGCACCCCTTACACACAAAGACAATGCACCCCTTGCACACAGAAAAACACACAATGCATTACACAAACAATGCATTACACACATAGACACACACACACATACACACACACACACACACACACACACACACACACACAAGCAATGCAACCCTTACACACAATGCATCCCTTACACACACACAGAAACACACAATGCATTCCTTACACACACTCAATGCACCCCTTACAGACGCACACACTGCATCCCGTACATACAAAGAAACACACCTTGCAGCCCTTACACATACAAACACAGATTCAAACAATGCATTCCTTACACACATATCAGGACATCCCCTACACACTCCACCCCCTGTGAACAAACTCATTGGTGGAACATGAAGGTGGACCCTGGGACCCAGACCTTGAGCTGTGTAAAGGGCCCCCCAAAAAATGGAGCTGCTTCCCGTTCTCCCAGAACATTGATTTTTGTGACCACAGTTACAAACAGCCTCCAGAGATCCTGTTCTACACCAGACCAGTGGAGCCAGACTGCAGCTAGAGCCCATCATCATCCTCATCTGGTTGTAAGTAGGCAATCTAGTATATTATTAGTGACACTAATCTCTAATTTACCTCACATTAAAGAAACACTATGGTCCTCAGAACCACTGCAGCTTAATGTAGTGGTTCTGGTGTCTATAGCCTGTCCCTGCAGGCTTTTTAATGTAAACACGTCGGCACTGCAGCACTGGCGTTAGTTAACATGGCAGATCATATAGGTGGGGCATTGTGATGTCACATGGGAGAGGGGCGGCAAACTTTACTTTTGCCTAGGGCGGCAAAAATCCTTGCACCGGCCCTGCCAGGAACGTGAAATCCGATATAGCTGGCGTTCATCCCATACTATCCTGCTCACATATTGGAGTTCTACCTACACAATTCAAGATATAATATTGTCAAAACTTGCACTTTATGACTATTTATTAGCACTTTATGTCCTTTAAGCATTTTAAATTACACGCTACATGAAATTGCCCTGTTTTATGGCTTATACCTCTTTCATTTAAGTGTAGATGGACTTTTGAAATTCCCCTGGCGAACACTAGGAGGTGTCTACTCTTAAACACCTAATTATCATCAACACCGAAGGTGGAACGCACAACCATCTTGGTTTATGACAAACGAAAGTGATGTGTGGAGCGCACGGATGTGCGGTCCAGGACCGAGTCCCATCGGAAATATAGAGCATTTAATCAGCCAAAACGGAGGACAGGTGAATTGTTTCACTTAAGATGAATCAGGATGAAGAGGACAAGTGGGATATCCACTTTACCCATAATGAATTTGTAAAGTTCAGCCTTATATAAGGGGAAGCATGGGAGGTACGAATCCGATTGTATTGGTGACTTTATGAGGTTACTTGTAAATTATTATGGGTCCCTGAGGACGTTCCTTATCTGAATGAAACATGTAGGACCTTGACCTATTGTATATTTTATTACTTTTTATTTCATTTTATATCAATAAATAATTTTTTTAGCTACCATCCAGATTCCAGTTTGGTTCCTGGCTAGAAGTGGTGACTACAAGGAGGCTATAGCCCCCCATCAACTTCAGGGGAGGCAACGCTTGAAAGTCCATATGTTTGTCAGTGCAATTTATAAACGTGTAACTTTATCCACAATTTAAACAATATTGAACTATTTTTTTTTTATAATTAATTATTCTTAGGAACATCAGCTGTATCCCAGATTGTGTATCTTGTATTACAATTCAAGATATGCCTGGAGAGTCTGACCTCTTGGAGACCCTTGGCCTCCCATAGGATTCTCTATGACCATTCAGGCAGGCCCATGCAGAGACCCACAGATGGAACATCACTCCTTTAATTCCTCAGCGGGCTGAAGCGGATGCTAAGGCCACTACGTGATGTTTCACACAGCATGTCTCACATTGTCCACCTTCCATTTCAGGGCTGTAGCTAGCCCACCATATGTTAATTTATTTTACCTGTGTTTTACTGCAATGTATGTTTGTCTCACTAGAGTATAATAGCCCACCATCCGAACTCAGTGGAGTTGACCTCATAGCCAACATTCCACAATGATGATTCTAGGATAGAAAAAAAATCAATGCTTGTTCAACTACATCCCCTGAAGAAATAATTTGTAACTTGCAATTTTTTGGGTAGGTATAGTGTCTAATTAGAGAACCTCTGGCTGAGGAAGCATTGTGATTTGTAGGTGTTGCATGTAAACCAATCATTATTGATTAAATGCTCTTCAAGCTGACTGGGTTTTGTGCATATAAGCAACTGCAGGACAATGCCACTGCTGACATCAACGTGATCATAAGAGACTACAGAGGATATTGAATAAAAAAAGAAATCTGAAATAACATCATGCTAAAGCTTTCTATCTAGCAAGCTTAGAGACAAATTCGATTTCCTAGGCAACCATACAAGGCAGGCTCTCCAGAGATTCCCAATTAAAACAAACAGTTTTTAAAGTTGAAGTCTGACTTTTTTACATTTAGACCTACAATAATTTTATCTTGTCATGTTAGAATATTATCACAGCCTTGTCTCTTTCTCTCCATTGGTTTAATGTACCCTTGAACCCTATGAAAAGGAATGCTTTTAGTGAAATGATGCAGTACATTCTGTTAACACTCTTAA